AAAATAATGATTTGAAGGCACAAAATTCATCTATTAAAATACCCGACTATATAAATATTCAATTAAAACAACCAATCACAATAACAATAGGCAATAAAAATTAAGAAAAAAAACTTACGACATCGAGAATAAGATTAAGACCCACACATCAACAGCCACCCACGACCAAAAGAGTAGAAGAGAAATGGAAGAGTACTTCAAATGGAAGGGGAATATAAAGATGGAGGAAAAAATTTTACTCTTCCAATTTTGTTAAAAATGAAAGAGAAATAAAAAATGCATACCTATGAAACCCAAATGACAACAGTGATAGCAAAAGGCAACAAGGCGGCTACTGAACAATGACTGACGGGATTTTAGATGGCGGAGGGATGAGAAAGGTAGAAGCTTTGAGTGAAAAATGAAGAAGAATAGATGAGAGAAGAGTTGCATTACGGATCTAAAAAAAGCTAAGGAAAAATACATCTGAAAAGTCACGTCAACGACTTTTCAAATTTTAAATTGAGATATTTTCAAAACCGACATGGTATCTATATTCCACATGGGTTATTTTGAAACCAACATGGAAAAGGAAGCAATTTTTTTTTTTTTAAAAAAAAAAGAAGCAGTTTTCCACATCTTTTTTTTTGGTAACTGATGTGGAAAATGTTTTTTACATCAATTTTTTAGATAACCGATGTAAAAACTCCTTTAAAAAATTATAAAATTGCCACTGTCTTTTTTTTTACTTTAGTTTTTTGTAAAATCAATGTAAATTAGTGAGGTTAAAAATTATTTTTGTAGTAATGACAGTTCTGTTTCAAGTGAACTTCCTAGGCTTCAAAGTTTATATTCCTTTTATGTATTCACTAACAATCTACCATTATTCCTTAATTAATGTTTAATGTACCTAATCCAACATTGTGTACCCTAAATAAGAAAAAAATGCATGGCTTTAGATTTAAAAATCACAAGATTGGGCTGCCACTATATTAATTCTGAAACAATATCTTCGTATTGCCTATCTAGTTTTACTCAACAATAAATAAATAAATTTAAATAAAACAAAATATAAGAGACTCTTGTATGTATATATTGCTCTTTTGCTCTTTTGCAAAGGGATCATTCATAAATACTTCCTTCGATCCTATTTATAAAAACACCTTCTAAAAGTAATTTTTTATCCAAAATATAGGATACTTTACAATAATTAAATTACTTTTTCCAATTTTATCCCTCATCGATTAGCATAAAGGTATTTAATATAGTTGTATTATTATTTAAAATCAAAGGTAAAAATGAAAGTGCATCTCACCTTTTTTTGATATAAAAAATTATTCTTTTTTAATATATGTGAAATAATTAAAAGTATTCTATAATAAAGGTCAGAAAGAGTATATATTTAATTTCATCATACTACACACAGTCTCTCTCTCTCAGACAAATTAAGATTGAAAAAAAAAAAGACAGAGAGAGATTAGACACATGTCAAACTGAATTACTATGTCATATTCTATCCTATAAATATAAGAGTTGACTCGGTGACCCAAATTTCAACCAACTTCAAGGTTTTGGGTTGAATTAAAAAAAAAAGTACAAGCCTGTAGTTGCTTAATATTTTCTTTTTTAAACTTTAGTGCTAATTGGTTTCTACTCATGCCACTCACATACATTAATTATATTCTATATGTGTGCGTGCGCGCGCGTGTTTGTTTGTTTGTCTTTATGTGATGCTGTTTATGATAACCTAACAGCCCCACTTAGTATAGAACAAAAGTTAGAGACAGGATAATGATTGTTTAAGGACTAGTAGCTCATAACTAAACAAGCATTAAATAAGAATAACTTCCTTGCGTGATATCAACGGTCACCACCAACCCCTTAATCGTTTAACATGCACATAAGATTATATATAGTTTCAAAATATACAGAATATTTGTCTTCTTTTTTCCAACCAACATCAAATTAGAAAAAGAATATCCAAATGATGAAATATTTTGCTTATTTCACCCCAAAGATGTATATAGACTTCTTATATACTCCGTCTCATCAAAAATATCAAACTTAATGTGGTTTAAAATGTAGTACGTACATACACTTTGTAAAAAGTTAATATATAGCATCAAATTCTTATTTTCCGCAAATGCTATTATTAATTATATTGTAGGGAGATGTTACACATGAAAATGAAATTAAAGGTAATTGGTGAATGAAATTTCTTACCTATTTTCTCCCCCCATTTTCTTTGTTTTTAGTCACTTTATTTTTCTAAAATGAGCATTTTATACACTTTTAGGATCATTTGGGTTCAACAAGCAATTTTAGCAATTTCTGGTAAAAAGTGAAAATATCAATAGGTTTGAGCCAAAATTATTTTGGCAAAATTCCCAAATTTAATGGCTTTAAGCGTTTTAGTTCTATTTTCTTATGGCGAGTTTATTTTAAGTTCATTCTTCATAATTAAGAATTAATTTACACATTACCTCATGCCACCTCATTCATATTAATTCACCTCATTCATATTTTAAATTCATTCTTCATATAACAATGACAAGAAGAAGAAGTCTTATCCTACTATGTAGGGTCGACTATATAAATTATATGGCACCATTGTACTATAAGGATAATCAACCAAGCTTTTAAGAATATTTTTAATTAAAAGGTTTTGTTCAACAACTTTCATAAATGTTTTCTTTAGTCTTCCTCTGTCTCTCTTTACAAAGCTCAAGATTATTTATTCTACTCTCCTCATCAATGCCTCTCACAAATTTCTCTGTACATGTCCAAACCATCTCATATGTTTTTTTTTTTACCATTTTTCCCTCAATAAATGCCAAACTCACTTCTTCTTTTATATACTCATTTTGAATTTTATCTTTTCATGTATGCTTGCAAATCCATCTCAACATTCTTATCTTTGCTACTCCAAATTTATGCTCTTGCTATACCTTTGAAGCCCAACATCACTATCATGCATATAACATATATGGTCTTATACCTGTTCAATAAAGCTTCTCTTCAAGTTTATTTAATACCTTTCGATCACAAATAACTCTTTTAGCATTTTTTTTTCCAACTAAACTACCCATCTTATATCCTATGTGCAAGTTGCATCCTTATCAATTGCCCTATCATGTTGAATAATAGTTCTCAAATATCTGAACTTTTTCACTAGAGGTATAATTTGATCTCCCAATCTCACTTCCAAATTACTATTAAATAACTTCTTATCAAATTACAATACAAATATTCTGTCTTACTCCTACTCAATCAAAAACCCTTTGACTATAAGGTCTTCCTCCATAACTCAAATATACAACTGATATCTTCTCTTGTCTCCATAACAAGAACTATATCATCTGCAAAAAGCATGCATTTAGGAATTTTCTTTTGGAATATGCTCAATCAAAATATCTAAAATCAGGTCAAGTAAATAAGGATTCAAAGATGATCCCTGATACAATGCAATCCTTATAGAAAAGTAATTGGTTTCACCACCAGACATTCTTATACTATTTGTTGTCCTCTCATACACATCTATCATAGCTCTAATATAGGCAACCATGACTCCTTTTTTTTAAGGCTTTTAAAAGTACTTCTCTCAATACACAGTCATAAGCTCTTTCCAAATCAATGAAAACTATGTGTAAATCTTTACCTTTGCTTTGATACTTTTCATTAATCCTCATAATAGATAAATTGATTCATAGTCGCCCTACCTAGCATGAAGCCAAATTAAATCTCAAAAATACCAGTCTCCAACATCAACTTTTGCTCAATTACTTTTTCTCACAATTTTATTGTATGACTGATAAGTTTAATGCCTTTGTAGTTTGCACAATTCTGAATATCGCCTTTATTTTTATAAATAGAAACTAAGGTATTTCTCCTCTATTCATCAAGCATTTTCTTGGTCTGTAAAACCTCATTAAATAACTTATTTAGCCATTGTACCTACCCCCTTTTTCACCTAAATATTTTCACACTTCAATAACGATATAATCAAGTCCATTAGTTCTACTATTTACTATTTTTTAAAAAAGCTTCATTTACCTTACTATCACATGTCCTTTGATAGAATGACAAATTCCTTACCAAAAAGAAATCAACTTGTGACCTTGAGGCTCTAATTTTGTAGGTTATGAGATGTTCATCCCTTTCTTTAAAACAAGTGTTGACAATCTTGAAATTATACAAAGAGAAATCAAGAATAGATTGTCCTTTATTATTTATCTTCCCAAAAACCAAAATCATCATGCACCCTTACATTATCACCTATCTCCATCCCAACATGACCATTAAAGCCTACTCCAATAAAGATTTTTTCACTTTGTCATATCCTTTGAATCAACACTTTTAAGTCTTCCCAAAACAAATCCTTAAGATTGGCTTTTGCCCTAACTTGAGGTGTATAATGCTAATAATATTGATAGTCTCATGCCCAACAATCATTTTAAGGGAATAATTCTATTATTAATGCTATTAACTTCTACCACATTCTTCTTCCACTCCTCGTTAATAATAATACTCTCCCCATTTTGTGGCCTTACTTTCCTCATATATTAAAGTTTGAAACCTCCACTATCCATAGCTTGTTCACCAACCCATTTAGTTTCCTGTAGGAACAAGATATTAATTCTTTTATGAATCATAACTCCTACTACCTTTATAAATTTATAAGTCAAGATCCTAACTGTAATAACCCAAATTTTTTTTAAAAAAAAATTAAAAGTTAAAATTAAAATTTAAAAATACATAATATTGTCTTTAAGTGTGTTTATATTAATTTTGGAATAAATTAGCAAGAAGAAGAGTTTGTCTAGTGGTAATTATATTGTTACTTATTTAATAGGTCATGAGTTTGAATCTTATGAGGGCAAGAGTGCAAATTTTCTATATTTTCTCTTTTGCTTCAGCTTATTGACAAAATTACAATGATGCCCTTCTGAAAAAAAAAAAGAGAGAGAGAGAGAGACAGAGACAAAGACCTAAACGTGTGGCTTCTTCTCTCCTTATATTTTCCTTTTATCTGTTGAAAAGTCCAGAAACAATGGAGAGAGATAGAGAGCTTCGATTTCCTCCAGTCCACTGTCATCTCTTCCCTTTTTCTGTCATCCTCCACTGTATTTTATCTCCCCCCTATAGTTTCCAGTGATCACGCGGTGAAAGTGGAGACTCGGCGTCTTTATGTCATACCCAGGTTGTCCGTCGTGCTTCCCTGTCTCTACTTGTTTTCTTTGTTGCTTCTCCATTCTCGCTGTTCACGTACACACAGCTGGGGTCCGAGAATCAGGTCGTCGGAGTTGGTAGGGTTGTCCGCGAGCTCATCTTTGTTTGATCTAGTTCTGTGATTCTATTTTCTTCCTTTCATGTGTACCCTGTCTATTATTCATTCTCTATGCAGCTCGTGATTTTTTTTCCTTCTTCTATTGTTGCTGTGGTTAAGTGCATCTGGTCCTTGAGCCTGCTTGTGCATTTCTAAAGAGAGAAAGAGGAGTGGTCTGCCATTGGTTGAAGCTGGAAATAGGAGAACTCCTCTCCCTGTTCTGTCGGCTTCTTCTCGTTCTCTCCCTCCTCTGTTACTGTTGGTACTTAAGGTGAGGATTTTTGTAACTCTTCTTGATAATTTAGTGCAAGAAAGAGTGTCTGAATGAATGATTGAAATTGAAATTTTTTTTCTAAGTTCTGCTGCTCTCCGTGGCTGCTGGGGGAAGGGAGGAATGGAATTAAACTGAAATTTGTGTATTGGAAGTATGATTATGATAAGTATGGTTAGAGTTTGAGTCAAGTTAATTTTGTTTGAACTAGATGATGTTAAGAAGCGGTTAGGATGAGTTTGAAATAGAAAAACTTTGACATAGAATTTGACAGTTAGTGTCCATGAAATGTTTGTTAAAATGCTTGTGAAAAGGAATTATAAAGCAATTGAAAGATTAAATGTAATATATATATATACACACACATATATAAAAAAAATTGGATGTCTATGTTATAGAGTTTGAAAATAGAGGTATACTCAATATGTTATATATGGGGAGTATTCATATGAAGTAACTGTGTGAAATTAGAGAAGCTTTTAAGATATGGATTTTGGTGTCTTTGAATAATTACTATTGTAGTTGATTAGAGTTATTTTTGTTGACTTAAATTTTTGCATGTATATAAATATGTTCATATAGAGTGTCTAGAGGGAGAGGATCTTGATAAAAGTGATAAGGAGTAAGCTATAGAGGTTGGAAAGGCTTATCAAGTAAGTGGATAGTATCCCAACTGATTTTGTTTTCTTTTTAATTAAAATTTCATTTGCTAAAATATTACATTTTTCTAAAATCATTTTAATAGCATTAATGCAATTATTGAATATTTGTTGATTAACTTTACTTTATTTTGAGAAATTAGCTTTATCAAATTTGAAATGTTATTTGATCAATTAAATTAAGTTTAAACTTTGATTATGAGATTTTTATTTTATCAAATATTGGATTGATACAGAGAATGATTCATGCGAGTTCGACTTTGAAATTTTGATTATTCAATAAATGCAAGAATGAGTATTGGATATGAAATTTTACTTTGGCAAGTTTTTAATGCTTAAAAATATACATGCGAGTTTGATTTTGAGAATGAAAACTGTATCTTGAAAGTGAGGATTTTCTCGCATGTTTGAAAATAGTTTTATAAAGGGACTTTATACGGAACACTGGTTGCTAAAGGCAGTTCCGTTAGCCCTTGGCGCGCCATGGTACACCTAGCTAGCAGGGTGTTTATAGGAGGTGCTAGCCCCGTGCGATGGCCAACGCACGTGGAACGAAGGGATGGTTATTCATGAGCATCGTACTCACATTGTTTCGTGGCTTTAAGCCACGTTTGATTAGCGTTACCTTTCGTGGACTGTGTGTCCACGTTTGTTTTGTGGCTCCAGCCACGTTTGGTTACTTACCCTCGTGGACTAAGTGTCCACGTTTGTTTTCGTGGCATAAGCCGCGTTTGGTTAGTTACCTTCGTGGATTATGTGTCCACGTTTGTTAATTATTCTGATAAGTCCCTATATTTATGAATCCAATCGTTTGATGATTTCATATTCTATTAGTTTTTATTTAGTAATTTGTTTATAAATATTTATTTCATTTATGTGCTTTCTTGAAATCAAGTGATAATATCATTTTCTATGATAGTTCAGTGATTTGAGATTTTATTTGAAATTTATAGAGCCATTTTATTATGAAGTTTATAAAATTTTTATGAAAATTTTGTCTATTTAACTTACATAACTATTTCAAACTTTTCATTTTATTTATGTTCTATTATTTATTGTTGGGACGTTATTCACTGAAAAAGATATTTTAGTCTCAGATGGTATAGTTGAACTCGTGACTCGAGATGTCCACTGAGGAGTTTTATTGCTGAATTGAAGCAGAAGAATTATTTTAGTCAAATCCTAATTTGATGAAAAATTTAAACTTTATACCTACGTTGGTGTCTAGCCTTAGGTGCTCTACATAGACTACAGGTAGGATCCTTATATTTTTTTTAAAGTTGAATATATGAATTAATATTGTAATAATTTTTAATTACTCTATTAGTATGTTTAACGTATTACTTTCATAGTCTCTCCGATCAAGGCTTAAGGGATATGAGTTTTGTGTCCATATCCTGTGCTGGTCACACTTGATTTTTGGGACGTGACACTAACATTCCAAGTGCCAAATATAATCTTGCTCATATGAACTAACTTCTTTAGCCATTTTCGTCTAGAATAATGTAGGAGACCTTACTTATTTAACACTTCTTCTAAGAAATGATACAGTGGCTCAAACTCACTTATCACTACACTTTAGTTATACAATGCATTACTTATAGGCAACATCCCAGCATTAGCACAAAAACATCTATTGTCCATATCCATGTGAGATTCAACAAGTTATATGTTGGCTGTTGAGGGCCTGATACAACTATCCTCCTTTATTTGAGCTTAGGACCGACCATAAACATAAGTGGAGTTAAGTTCATTCTTCATAATTAAGAATTATTTTGTCATTTATTTAAATATTCTTTTATTTTTATTGTGTTAATTTATTCTCATTGGTAATTTTGCTATGTTTTATCCTTGTGAAGGATGTTATGGATTTGTGATTATGGATTGTAACTTGAATACTTTCTATTGTTATTGGAGCTTATTATAGATTTATTATAATTAGGTTTTCATGTTTCATGATAATTTTTATATGATTATAGGAATTTTTATTATCTTAATTGATTTTATCAAAGTTGAATTATTGTTACTTCTTATAGAAAAAAAAAAGCAAATTAAGGTACTAGACTGCCTAAACCAATCCCCCAATCCTATAGACCAAGTTTGGTCTAGCTCAACATTGAGTTCTTTATAGATTAAACCAAACCATGAGCTACCTAACCTATAATGTCAACCTTGACATTACTAGAATATAACATACAATACAATCATGATAAACAAGATTAAGCAAATCCTTAATATAGGTTACCATGATAGACAAGGGTTTAAAAATTAAAAGATCAGATCCCAAGAAACCCTTTTTAGAAAAGTGTTTGAGCTCAAACGATAATTTAAAATGTCTAAAAAGAAGTAATGAAAGCATAGCAATTGAATATATCACAAACACATATCAAATGAGGGCAAATTAGAGAAGGCCAAAAGTTCTTTGTCTATTATAGTGCAAGTGTCATTTGTCATAGCGGATGGCACAAAAGGAAAAGTTCCTTGCTGTATCATACATGATGGCACATATGCCTTATGCTCTAGCGCCCCTTTAATATCATGACAGCACTCTAGGGCCAAACTTTAGAGTGCACCATTTTTCCAACCGACATCTAATTCAATTGATTCAAATATCCACATAAAGCTATCTAAGCCACCTATTTATTGGCACTAGTTTCACAACAAAATATGTAACATTCTAATTTTTCTAATCCCATAATTAGTGATTGATTTGTGTCTTTGGGATGTTGTATGAATAGATATGGGTGGGAGGATCACATTTTCAATCAAGTCAAGTGCGCATGATGAAGACTTTTCTTATTGTGCCATACATCACAGCACAAGCTACATGTGCTGTGATGCATGGACCAGAAAATGACCCCTTAAGTCATGAAATTGGGGTGATTTCAGAAGAGGGAAATTAGAAACACATGAGAAGTAGAAGAGAAGAAGCTGAGGTATGATAGGGCAAATGTTTCAAAGCATTAGAAGGCACTTTCTATTAGTAACTTATTGGGTAAGCTATGTATAATTCTTACCTTCCATTCTAACCAAATTTCTCTAAATATGAGCTATTGAAAAATTGAATTGAGGAAATTTAAGGGGCTGATTATTGCCCAATAGTAATAAAAAGGTTCTTAGGAGTTAAATTAGAGCTTTGCGAATGGTTTAAAGCTGAACGATAGAGCTTTGAACCCGTAGGCTCAATTTAGCCATAGTTCAATGAAGATTTAGTGTGGAAATAGGGTTTAGCCAAAATGAGGTCATTTGAGGTGATGTAAATTAGTAATTGAGTGGCAGTGGACTTAGATTAGTTAAATAGAAATGGATGGATGGCTAAATATAGCCTTAATTGGTAATTAAGTAATTTTGGTCAATTTAGACCAAATGACTTATTGTATCAATTGTGTTTAGATTGGCATATTTTGTGTGTAAGTTGAGAAATGAAGCTTGTGAGGAGCTGTAGTGGTAATTGAAATCCACAAGTAACCTTTCTAGTGACAGAAGGGTTGAAAAAACCATATAACTTCTTCTGTTTGACTATTTATTGTAACTGTATATCAGTATGTTATGTAATGCATGAAATCATTTTAAACTGAGCATGTTTTATAGCATTGTATATTTATTGCATGAAAAGGGGACTTTAGTTAAACAAGTATATGAAATGGTGTAATTGATATAAAAAATACATATATTTATATATATGAGGTTAGTGGTAATTGGGAACTTATGATTGGTTCAAAAAGCATGATAGAGGTGAGAGTTCACCATGTGGAGTATAGTGATAAGACCATATGACATATTCTTCTTAGTGCCCGACAGGGTACGGTGTTGGAGAATAATACCTCCTCAATGCCTCTTGAGGTGTGGTATTAGAAATGATCTCTTTAGTGCCTATTGAGGTATAGTGTTGGAGATCTGGGAACCCTTAGTGTCTGTGTGATATGGTGTTAGAGTCAACGATACCCTATTGTGTGTATTGGGGGAAACTATAGTTTGAAAGTGAGATAAAATACTTTTGGTAGGGTGATTCTACCACTAAAGGTATGCTCAAGGCCTATGAGATTGTATATTAGTCTGAGACAAGCTTATGGATTTGTGTCAGGGTGATTTGGAGGTTCAGTTGGTAGTGATCATGCTATATGTTGTATATGTAGAAAAGTGGTGATTATAGTAGTAAAAGAAGTGAATTAACACATATGGCTGTGATTTGAAATGAAATATGTGATATAGTATGTTAAATGATATATTATGATTTACTTTCATATAGTTGCATATGATAGTCAATAGAAGTGAGTTATTCTATTACTAAGATTTTTATCTCACTCTTGTGGTTATATTTTTACAGGACAAAGCAGTGATTAGGGTAAAAGGAAAAAGTCTGGACTGGCATAGTGTTGCCTTGGTCGTGTGAAAGCTCAGAGTATTGTGTAATAAACTAAGAAATTGTATATATATGTGTATATAAGTTGCCATAGGGTTGCATGCATGATTTGAATGTTTGATATGGGTTTTGGTTAAAAGTGTAGAGATTGGTGGTGAATCTTAACCCATGTGTGAAATTATGATAAAATGAGTAATTAGGGGCTAAGATTGTATTGTGAATATGTTATGGAGGTGGTTATAAGTGAATATGTGTTGAGAAAAGGCTAAGTTGTGCCAAATGATGAAAAATTGTGAAAAGTTGTGAAATGTGAAAATAGGCTGTTGAATAGCTAGATTTTGATATATATATATATATATATATGTATAATTGTAATATATTATAATTAATCAGGTGTAGTAGTCCTTTTGGACTTAGTTCAAGGCCTTGTGTGGTCTAATGAGAGAAAGGAATCGATTTGAGTGTTTGAGTGTGCAAAATTTTCAGAAACTAGCTTTTTGCACCTAGGTGTCCAAATATCGATCGGACTGTTAGATCGTGTCTAAATATCTCATTAGATAAGTTTCATGTAGGTGCTTGAATCACTCCAATCAGACATTGTATGTGAAAATAGCACAAGCCAAAAGTTCATTTTGCTGTCAAAATGATAGCAGAAATTTCAAACTAGTGAGCCACAGCTCATCTCATAGAAAGTAAGGAGCGCAGCTCTGTGCCATATGCTACAGTGCATGTACTGCATGCCACGACACAGGCCATTTTCTAACCTGATTTCTTAGTTTTTAGTATATGCATTGATTAAGATGAATATATATGATTTATTTTAAGTGTGTTGCTCTAATGCATTATGATTTTGATAATTTTGCAAAATAGGTCTTTGGCCAAAACTTTTCAAACAATATTTGATTATTGATTTGTGTGATTGATGTGGTGATTGGGTTAACTTTCTCCTAGATCAAGTAAATATAGGAGGAGGTTACAGAAATAACCCTTATGCATTCATAACACTATTTGCTTGCATTGAAAACTGCAAAATTAGGTTAGATTAAGGGCCATGCATTGCGGCGGGTAGCACATAGGCTGCGGTATGTGGCATAGAACCATACATCCTAATCTTCTCTGTGTCATGTGATGCGGTATGAGACACCAAATTTGTTGCTGTTATTTGACAGCAGAAATGATGAACTTTTGGCATGCACCATTTTTACATACGATTTCCAATCGGAGTGATTCAAGTACCCATATGAAGCTTAATTTATAAGCTAGCTAATGAGGTAAGTTTGGACACAATCTCACAGTCCGATTAAAATTTGAACACCCAATTGCAAAAAGTCATTTTTTATCTAAATTTAACGCACCCAAGCACTCAAATTGATTCTATTATCTCATTAGACCATTTTAAGCCTTTAACTAAATCTCAAAGGACCTAATACACCTGATTGACCAAGTTATATAACAATTACACAAATATTATCATAATTTAGCCATTCAATAGCCTATGTCTACAAAATATAAATTTGCATAACTTGGCACAGTTGGGCCTACTTGGCCCTTTTTAACCACATATATCCACATTCACCACATGGTCATAACTAAATCTTAGCCTATCCATTCATTTCACCATATATTTCCACACATGGGCTAAGATTCATCAAAATTCACAACATTCACCACAATCTCTACATTCAACAACTTATAACCATTCAAATCATATATACAACCCTATGGCAACTTTGTGGTGAATTATCGTTGCCTTTTATAGCGATTTGGCTAAATTGCTATGATTTTTTTTTTACCATTGAATAAAGTAATGGCTTCATAAAACACTACAAGAACTACTACTAAACAAAAGTATATGTAGCCCAAGTGCATTTATTTTGGTTGTTGGATGTTTTCTTTCATCTCTTTTCTCTCTTTTTGAGCTAATTTTGTGGTCAATGCTAACTAAAGAAATGAATAGATCATGGATAAATATGCCTCCTACAACTAAAGAGTACTTGAAAGGACTAGAGGACTTACACACAAGTGCCGGTGAAAATATTGTTTGTCCATGTCCAAAATATCATTTCAAGAAGTGGCATCCAAGAACAATGGTTAAAGAGCATTTAATATTTAAATCTTTTCCACGAGGCTATACATACTAGGCAATGCATGGTGAAAGGCATAATTTGAATAATGATATTATTAAGGTGTAGCTTTATTTAATTTTTTTTTTGGATAAATATGTCTTCACTTTTTTAATTCATTCCCATAATTATATACCGATCAAGAAATATTGTAGAATTCTTTTTCTCATGTAGCTATTCAAGAAGATGGTTCAAACATACAGTTTGTGATGCTTTCATAGTAGACGGTGATGATGAGGTGTAAGGTCTAGATCTCAAGTATGTTGAGAATGAAGAAGCAAAAGGTTTTTTTCAACCTCATAATAGAGGAAGAGCAACCATTATATCCTAGGTCTGATTGGTATACTAAGTTGTCTTTTTTTATTAAATTATTTCATATTAAGTGTTTATGCGATATTAGCAACAAGGGAATGTCAATGATGTTGGAACTATTTAAAGATTCCTTTAGTATGGCAAAAATTCCAACTTCTTTTCGTAAGGAAAAAAAGTAATTAATAAGTTGGGATTAAGTTACATGAAAATCAAAATACCTACCCAAATGATTTCATGTTGTATAAGGGAGATGATACGGATAAAGTATTTTGTTAAAAGCATAATGCCTCTAGGTGGAAACTAGTGAAGAAGGGGAAGGAGAAAAAGAAGACGCCAGCAAAAATACTTGAATACTTTTCATTGAAGCAAAGTTTATAGAAATTGTATATGTTGTCCATGACAGCTGATCAAATGAGATGGCATAATATTGAGAAGAGTGCTGATAAGAAGCTAAGACATCTAAGAGATTCAATAGCATAGAAACAATTTGACTTAGATTTTTTAGATTTTGCATCGAAACTTAGGAATATACGACTTGCATTGGCTACTAATGGTTTCAATCCATTAGGTAGTCTTAGCACTAGTTAGAGTATTTGGCCAGTGGTCTTAATCCCATACAACCTTTCACCATGTATGTGTATGAAATATATACCTTCAGCCATTGATCCAAGAGTTGCTAGATCTTTAGAATATTGGCATAGAGACATATGACTTATATGAGAAGAAAATGTTCAACTCTCATGCAGCACTTATGTGGATTGTTAGTGATTTCCTAGGACTTGAAACAGTATCTAGTTATAACACACATCGTGTAAATTTGATGCAAAGTCAGTTCGTCTCCCATAAAGATTGGAAGTTTAAAAAGTCAGTTCTGATTTCTAAAAATATTAAAATCATATGTTAGAAATAAAGTTTGGTAAAGGGTATTTTAAGGGATGAACTATTGAATTTTTGTTCAAGGTATTTTCATGGCATTGAGACAATCTTCAATTGCCTATCATATGTTGATAATTGTCCTAATAATGATGATGGTTTTTCAACAACAAACTTGTTATTTGCCCTGTTGGAAAAGAAATTAAAGGGTTTGAGTATTTTTAAACTCACCCCAAAAGAGAAGTTGCATTCTCATGGGCATGTGTTGACAAATTGTAGTCAAATCGATCTATATATTCTTTATGTTGAGGTAAATAAGAAGGTGTATAGAGAATTTACTTCTTGGTTTCCACACTAGCTTGTGAATATTGATAACAGCTCCTTCTAGTCCAATTTGAGATTCCTCGCTTTTGGTCCAATTGATATGGCAAGAAGATTTATAACATACAATGCCAATAGGGTTTAGGTTTTGCACAATTGTACTTGATCAAGGATTGTAGACCAAAAATTGTGGAGTTTTTGTAACTTTTAGAACCAAGAGTTACACCAATTTCTCTGATAGTGACATACATTAGAGAGGCGTCCCATATTGTGGCAAGGTTGTGGATATAATTGAATTGAATTAGCAAGGGTGTTTCAAAATGATCTTATTCAAATGTGTATGGGCAATTACAACAATCACTCAAGGGATAACAACTGCTGATTCGAGCATCACCCTCAATCAACTTCACTCGATTAATTCATATTAATGAACACATGAAGATTATGAGTCTTATATGCTTGCTTCAGAGGCATAACAAGTTTATTACATCAAAGATGAGAAATATAAAGATTGGAATATGGCTGTTCATTTGAAGCCTCAAGATCTTTTTGTTACAAGTGATGACAATACGAATGATATCATCCATGACATTGAGTCATTCCAACCCAATAATTTGTAAAATTTCTTCCCCAAAGAAGATGATCCCTTACCATTAGTCAGATAAAATTCTATTTTTAAAGTCACTTTGTCTTTAAAAATAATTTATATTTTATTTATATACTCATAATATTATAACAATTTGACTAAGAAATTGAATGAAGAATGACATCGATAGAAGCCAAATAATTTTATTTGATGTCTAATATATTTTAAATTTATTGAATTTATCAAAATTTTAGTAAATATGAATGAACTTGCAAAAAATTAATTTTGCAATTTTTGTAGTGGTTTACCAAAAAAACTGCTACTATATATTATTCATACCGTTTTTAAACTAAAACGCTAAAAAAATTTTACATCAGTAGCAGTTCTGGATTCAAACTGTTGTAATAGAAATCCATAGCTCATGTCATAGTGGTTTGGGGTCAACCACCAAAACCGCTGCCTAAAGCATTACTCAAACCGTTACAACAATCATAACCACTATGTGAACTGCTACCCAAACTACTATAGCTTTCAAAGGCTGTGAAAAACTCACAACTCTCTCTTCCCATTTGCTCATTCATTTGCTCATTTCCTTTGTTTTTCCTCCCTCTCCTCGCATCTCAACTCCAACTATCAGCTTCAAAGTCTTGGTTATTTTATTTTATTAATTTCGTTTATTTCATTATTAATCTTTAATTTCTTTATTTCATCTAATTTTCTTTCTACTATTTAATATCATCACTAATAATTTTGTTTTTCTTTTTAATTTCTAGGTTTCTTTGACTACTCAATACCCTAAATACATTTTTTAAAATTTTAATTTATAACATTGAAAAATATTTTTTACATTTTATTTTAGAACACTAAAAATAAATTCAATAAAATATATTTATCCATAAATATTTTAAATAATACTGATTAAATAATATACTAAAATAAAAATTTTAATAAAATTATATATTCAATTAAATATAATTAATTCTATTCAATAAAAATACATATTATTAAAGGATAAATATTCAAAATAAATTACAAATGAAATATAAAAAATAAATATGAAATTTTAAATAAAATATAATAATAATAAATTAAAACATGAATTTTAAGAAAAATAGAATATTAAAAACTGGTTATTTTTTAAAAATAAATGTAGTGTAGCGGTTCAAGTAGCAATTCAGGAACCGCTACGAAAGTATCATAGCAGTTCCGAGCCACTGTCAAAGCTGTTTGTGCCAACAATTTCCACTAGGTGAATGAAATTTTGGGATATATTTCGTTTCAATTCAGGCATGGCAGTTCTTTGAACCACTATACAAACTATTGTGTTTTGACTACAGTTCAAACTTCAAACTACTACTATACCTCACTCTGCTTTATGTAATAGTGGTTCAGCAAATTGTTACTATAACATCATTTGAATTATATTGTCATTTGTAGCGGTTTGGCAAATCACAACAATTTTTTTTTCCGTAGTGGCACTTGTCATTGCATTATAATTGATCGTTGGACTTTATGATTTGTAAAGGCATTTATAGTAGTTAAATTAAATTAGTCTATCCATATATAGTTTTCTCATCATGCCATAAAAGGGATAAGCATTTTGGAAAAGTCCTTTATTTTATACAATTTCAAACAACAAAAAGTCAGAACACATAAACTCGTCTCAAAAACCTGTGGTGGATGGCTGCTTAATTAACTAATTATTAATTCATTAGTCATAAACAAAAGATAGATTATAGTGGACAACCAATTACATGCTCAAATTGTGGTTTAATGGGAGCTGACGATATACACTATCCTCTTCCACTTCCTCTCATCATGTGATCCCACCCCACCAAATTCCCACAATCAATCGCTCTGACTTTAAGAAAACGAGCTGCAAACTTCCTCCCTTAACGTTTTCCTGTATTTCTATATCTTTTACTCTTTTCCTTTTCTTTTTTTTTTTATGAACAATTTTAACATCCACGCATATGTATTTAAAATTTTGTTTCTTAAATAAAACATGGCAAATAACTTTTTCTTGTGTTAATTTTTTAAAATTAATAAAATGATGCATTTTTTGTTGTCTTTTTACAACTTTAAAAAGGTTAATTTATTTTTATTTCAATTTCAACATATTAGATGACATAAGAGTATATATAATATATTATTTATCTATGGGTCCAAGGAGGCATACTGCATTCAAATTGTGAAAAGTTCTCTTGAATATTTTGTTTCCCAATCATAAGGCTCGAACTTTAAGATCTTTTTCCGAGTCTTTTGCCATCCAAGCCAATGTATTTTAGTTTAGGCATTGAAGATTTTATACTTCAAATTTAACTTTTTTTCTATATTAATAATTATTTTCTAATGTAATTTCCTGTCTGAAATATATTCTTATTCCATAATTTTTTAACTAAATTGTTGAGATCAAATTCAGACCATTGAATGAATCAACATTAATGTAGAGAAACTACTCCTTAAAAAATACAACTTCTCACTTCGTCTGTGCTTCCTTTATACTCACTCAATGGATTAGTGCGCCATCCATAATTAAAGATGTGTCGCAACCAGAGCGAAACCCATATTTTAATAATCATGAAGATGAAGATGATTAATTCCAACTTCCAAGCTTACTTATCCTGTTTCTATTTTATAATTTCCCTCTTATTATTATATGTACGTATTCCACAATCCACACACACACACACACACACACACACACAAACACATATTTATATATATTATTCCACAAGTCGTGCTACGCGGAATCATTCAGAAAGTCTGACTTTGGTGAGTATATAAATAAGGTGGCCGAGACCATCTTCTCCTACACACGCAAACCACAAAACTCAATATTCATATATCTCAATATTACAATATGGCCAGAGTTCATCCTCAAGAATCCACTTCTTCTTCTTCTTCTTGCAACTGCTCTCAGAAAGAGACTTACACTCTCTGGATGAAATCGCTTGTACTGCACTCTAATGGCTGCACTGTGTATGATTCCAATGGCGACATCGTTTACCGAGTTGATAATTATGATAGAAAGGGTAGAAGAAAAGTTAACCTCATGGATCTACAAGGCGGAGTCCTGTATACCATACACAAGGTAATACTAACTACCTAGCTAGCTACACACCCACTTATACTAATCGTTCATTCATCATACAAGTTTTCTTCCCTAACGTTATGTAAAAAATAAGTTTTGCACTTGTATTAGATGACTCACTTGTATTAGTAATTTAAATCATTGTTTTGCACAGAAATTTCTTGGGTTTGGACGTTGGGATGGATACAGAAGCAGTGGTTCAAAGCCGTGGTTCAAAGTTAAGAGATGTCATAAAATTGTGAATGGAAAAGTAGTGTGTGAGATCAGAGTGGGGCGTCAAAGGTACTGCATAGTGAGAATGAATGGCAAAGCAACGTTCACCATAGCGAACATGGAAGGCCAAGTTGTTGCTCAGGTAATTATAATTATTTTTGCTTCTTCATCTTTCTCTATATTGTTTATCACATACATATCTTGAAACATCAGAGAGATCTTGTGTGTGTGTGTGTGTGTGTGTGTGTGAATTTGGTGTGGATTATATTGAATCTGTGCAGGTGAAGCAGAAGCAATCATCTGCAGGAATAGTTCTGGGCGATGATGTTCTAACGTTAGAGGTAGAGGAAGACACAGATCATTCACTAATTATGGCCTTCGTCACTGTGTATGGATTAATCTGTGGAAGAATGTAAATGATTGATTTTTCAGCATGCATGGCTTTCTTGTACTTACAGCTCATTGAGATGACGACGAGTTTTGGAATCAATTCTATTTGGATTAGGATTAATGTGGATAAGAGTATAGAGGAAAGACACAGTTTATGTATATGTTATCTAGTGTGGGTGTACATGCGTTTGTGTGTGTGTGTGTACATCAACTTTTTTTTAAAAATAATCTTTGGTATATATATTTTTCACATGATGTTAATTAGAAATATAGAGATAAATTTACCAATCTTTGCTTCGAGTTCAATGGGCAAGCCCTTAGTTTTGAAGCATGAAAAACATTAACTGTGAGACATCACCTAAGATGAAGATCCTTGCTTAGTTTAGGTAAGGTGACCCGTTAAAAACGACCACTCAATATATAATAACTTAAAATTAGTGCGTGCCAGCATCCTCCACATTTTATGACAATAATATTCTTTTCTGTTAGACAATTATTTAATATTTAGTGTTATTAATTAAGTTAAATTTGAATATTGTCAAATCTAAATAATGAGAATTGTTCTTCCTATGTAAATTTTCCTATCCAAAAGATTTAAATATTTAATGTGTGTTTGGTTTTTACTTTGTGAAAAGTCCATTTGCTGAAAATTTATTTAGTAAAAGTTAGTTATTATAATAAAATTTATATTTAAATATCTTTTTTCAAAAGTTAGTTTAGCAAACTCAAAAGTGTTTGAATTAATGATGATTTATACTTTTGAATATATAATGACTAAAAAGAACATTAATTTATAATGATTTATAATTTTTATTTTACAAATATAATATATTAAAAATGTTTAAAAAATATAAAAAATTTAAAATAATATAAAATTTAATATGTTAAATAATTTACACGCTTATTATTTACATGGGATTCTCTTTATTTACATGATCATAATATTATAGAGCCAGATAAGTTTAATTTAAATTTAAAAGAAAAAAATAACATGATTAAATATTTGATTTAAAAATTAACAATAACAACATAAAACAAAAAAGTTTAAAAGAAAATTTTAAAAAATAACAGCCATATGTTGTGCTGGAGCATCTAATCATGGCCTCCTGATATAGAGAAGAGAGGCAAAGTAGATCAAAAGGAAGAACACAATTAGAAGGGTACTAAGGTAAAATAAATAGTTACACTCCAAATGTAAGTCTCAAAAGCTATCAAAAGTTACACCCTCTAAAACTACATCAATTACATTTGATTTGCACTTTCATAATATATATCTATATCATATTTTTTATCCAAATAACTTTTAACTTTTTAAAAGTGTTAAACTATTTTTAAAAAACCAAATATAAAGTTTTTCAAACAGATTTCTGGTTGACCCCTCTAAGAGGATAAGTCTTTGTTGTTGTGGTTGTAAGATTTAAATGCTAAAACTTTGATCAAGGAGGATTCGAGACCTCAACCAATACTTGCTGGCGATAATTATGAGAATTCAAATTATATTGTTATAGCTGACCTTACAAGTGTAGAGAGAGATATGGCAGAGTGACGTTGATGCCTAGTATACGATTTTCTTTTTTCTCTCTCCATCTGTACTTTAGATTCACCTTCAGCGGAACTGAGCACTTAAATTCTTTTCAAGTTTGTTTTAGCTGACAATTCAGGTGTGTGTTTGATTTTTAATTTATTAAATATTTATTTAGTGAAAGTTTATTTAATAAAAATTAATTTAGTAAAAATTAGTTGTTATGATGAAATTTCTGTTTGAATATATTTTTTAAAAGTCAATTTAGTGTATCAAAAATTATTTAGTTCGTGATAGTAAAATGTGATTTTGAATGTACAATTACTGAAGAGAGTATTGATTTATAATAATTAGTAATTTTTATTACATAAATGTGATATATTTAAATATTTAAAAAATATGATAAAGATTTTAAATAATATAAAATTTGATCTATAATGTTAAAAATTTCATCTCTAGTTATTTGTACTTTTTTAATTTGTAATTTTAAAAAATGTAATAAAGATTTATAATTTATAATTTTTATTATATATTAATAATAAAAGTTAACATGATTAATTATTTAATTTATAATGCTAAAAATTTGATACCTAATTATTATTATTATTATTGAAATGATAATTATATTTTTAACAAATTAATTATTTTTTAAATAAGAATAAGAAATTAAACTTAAGGTAATATAGTCAAATAACATTCTACTTTTTAAATTCACTTTTCAAAAGTTTCAAATAGTTACGTTTTAAAAATTCACTTTCAATCGCTTTCAACCACTGTTTGAATGTGCTTTCAGGATATATTTTTTTGCAAAATATTTTACTCAAATAACTTTTAATATCTTAAAAGTAAAATTTTACTTTGTAAATATAAAATGTTAAGAAAACCAAACGCACCCTAGATAAACTTGCTCATGATCTTAGCGATAACTCTCACATCTTTGATCTTTTACCAACTTGCATACAGATGCGGTAGTTCATGAGAGATAGTTCTCTTAGTTTGTTTTTGTTTTCTTTTTGCCTGCTCATGTTTTTGAATGATGGATATACCTTTTTTTCATTAAAGAGAAAATGTTTTCAAGTATTTATCTGCAAACGAAGTACTTAGAATGTTGACAAATTCTCCTCGGCATTTCATTGGGTAAGACGATGCAAAATATCCTTCATGAGTAAGAAAATTTCGAAATTCTAAAAGGCAAAAATACTGTTGTGTTTGGATTAACAGGTATTTGACTTTGAATTTGAATTTTTGAATGAAATCCACGGTTGATTACATAAAATTTTATGGATATGAATTTGATATAAATCCATTTTTTTTTTAATGCTCGCATATATCTAAATACATGTTTTATTATAACTTTTTTATAATTTTAAATTCTCTCCATATCCTAATCATTTAAAATTTTAATCACTTTAATCATATCATTCTCTTCACATTTTTATTATCAATGCCTCTATCACTCTTATCTCTTCTTTCATATTTTATTCTCATTTTTCACTAATTGAAAATTAAAAGTAAACTCATCACTCTCAACCTTCCATTTTTTATTTTGAATCTCAGCTCATTTCTTTTCTTTTAAAATTTAGTATAATATTTAAATAAAGGATTGTAAATATATGAATTTTACATATGAGATTCTAAATGTGAGAGATTTTAAATCTAAAATTTAAATCAAAATTTATCAATTCAAATGCTGCCTTAATGAACTGGCTGCCACTACAGTAAAAAGCCTTTTCTTTTTTTCTTCCCCCGTGATATCAAGCGTAAAAGCTTTTTCATCCATGGCATGGGAAATAACAGCTCATATTATATTGAAATCAATCATAATTACAATATACAATAAAAGAATATGTATACATAAGAAAAAGGAAGAGTACACTGTCATGATTTGTTGCTCGAACAATACATGAAAGGGCACTCTTGTTAGCTAAAAACAGACATTACATACAACCTACAGAAAAAATTTCTTAAAATGGTACCTAATTGGGCAGCCATTCAACATTAATTAAGCTAAAACAAAAAAGGGAAAAAAATAAAACAGTTTTATCTTGCCAATATACATAGTAATTTATTCAATTTTAATCCCATTCCCATTTTTCAGCCCTTCATCTCCCACCTGCTTCAGAACTATACACAAACAGGTGGGTAATCCAAAACTCGTTAGCTCCTCTGAGTACCCTTGAGGCTCCGTACCATCATAACAAGCTTTTGTCTTTCGCCTTCTACCTCAGCAAATTTGAGACTCATTTCTAAGTATCTCTCTTGCATCTCCTTCAGTTCACTTTCCATTGATTTGTTTCTTTCCCTCAACGATCCTAACTTAGCTAATAGATCACAAAGATTGCTACTACCATTATCAATCTCAATTGCTTTCAATGCTCTCTTTGACAAATCCACATCACTGCCAAGGACACAGATTAAATCAGATCAACAAATTACTGAACTAACAAGGTTAGAAATAAGAATACCATAAACATATTGAGCAGCCACTGTCCATTAGACTGGTACTAAACTATATCTTGACGTCTGAGGAAAGCAGGATAATGAAGAAATATAAAAAGTAGTCAGATCGGACCTCTTGATTGATGACAATGCAACCACGTTTTCTTCAGGCGAATGTGTTGTGCCATTAAGATGCTCAACTTCACGTGTTACTCCTCCACATTCATCAGTTAAAGTTGCGATACTTTTATCCTCAACAACCTGTTTGAACAGTATTCCATCGTAAACGTATGGCACGAGTACAATTAAATAGCACTTCAATTCATTAATAAAAGCTACGTCTAGATGTTTATTGTTGCCATTAAGGCATTTGAAATATGCACTAATGATCAAGAAGAGACTTGAAGCATTTCGCAAATGTTTGCACATTCCTGACACATTGCAATATGTAAAGGTAAAGCATTATAACCTTTTGCAAAGCACTACTCTGATTGAATTCTTCCACTCTCTTCTCCAGCTCCTCAATTTTGTCCTGGAGTTCTTTTTCTTTCTTCAAAAATGAGGTTGCTGATGTTTCCAAGGCAGTTTCTTTGGATTTTATCAGGCCCTGCTGTCAACAACCAATTGTCACAAGTAAATTAGTTTATAATGATTTTAATCCCAAGAAAATATGGAAAACTCAAAAGCAATAATTGCAGATGAAAACAGCAATAGAGGAATTATCATTTGAATCAAGCATTCTTTGAAAGGACCTCTATCTACAAATAGAATTTCATAAGCTACCTCAAGCATAGTTATTTTCTCCTTCAAGTAGCCATTTCTTCTGAATTTTGAGGGCTTGAGGAAGATCTTGTATTCTTTGGAATAACTCTTGTTCCATCAAGAAGTTGTGCACGTCCATTACTATCTTTGAACTTCTTCTCAATGCTGACTAATGCATTGTTTTTCTTCATTAGGTCACCCTTCAGCTGAAGAATTTGCTTCCTAAGCTTTTCTTTCTCAACTTCATCCTCAAAAAGGGAATGTCTTAAACCTCTGTATTGAGCTTGAAGTTCTTCCAACTCTGATTTTACTTGCTCAGCCAATGTCTCTTTTTCATCCTTGAGATGCCTAATCTTATTTAATTCATCAAGAGACTGCTCTGCTTCCTTCCTCAATAAAGCAATTGTATTAACTAACTTATCTCTTTCATCAATTCCCCTCTTTACCAGAGTCTCAGACTCCTCATGTGATTTCTTCATAAGTTCCAAGTCAGTTCCGAAGACTTCTTTCTGCTTCACTTGCTCAGAGAGGCGCAACATCTCCACTTTAAGCTTTTCATTCTCAGCCTTTAGAATCTGCACCTCCTCAAAAAGATCTCCACAGACTTTTTCCTTATGTTTCTTCTGATTTTCAAGCTGCTTGGACTTACCATCAATTTCCAACAGCATTTGTTGTGTCTTAACTCTCATTGATTCCATTTGAGTGGAAAGTTCATTCAGTTTCACCTCATTATCTGCTTTGACAGACTGACACTCTTCTTTGACCTTCTGTAACATTTCTTTCAGTAGACTATTCTCTGCACGCAATTCACTTGCTTCTGTGAATGCTTTTATGGCAGCCTTCTCATTTGCAACAAATGTAGATGTCATTTGCATTGAGAGCCTTTTAAATTCTTCTTGAAGCTTTTCAACTGCATTACCATTTTTTATTCTGGTCTTTCGTAAAGCACCCTCTGCTCGGATGGCTCTTTGCTCCTGCTCAACTTTGTCCTGTGTCACAGCATTCAGATCAGCTTCAAAAGACTCTGCTTGTTTCTCCATTTCTTCTTCCAATCTTCTGATGTGGGATTCAAGTTTGTTAATGGTAGCCATTGAACATGAGAAGTCTTCTGACTGTTTCTTGAGTTCGAATTCCAGACTCTCAATATGGATTCTGGTCATTTGTAAAGCTTCCTCTGCTCGGATGGCTCTCCGCTCCTGCTCAACTTTGTCCTGTGTTGCAGCTCTTAGATCAGCTCCAGATGATTGTGCTTGTTTCTTCAATTCTTCCTCCAATCTTCTGATATGGGATTCGAGTTCCTTAATGGTAGCCATAGAATCTGAGAGATTTTTCAGTTGTTCCTTGAGTTCAATTTCCAGGCTCTCAATATGGATTCTGGTCTTTTGTAAAGCTTCCTCTGCTTGGATAGCTCTCTGCTCCTGCTCAACTTTGTCCTGTGTTGCAGCTCTTAGATCAGCTCCAGATGCTTGTGCTTGTTTCTCCAATTCTTCCTCCAATCTTCTGATATGGGATTCAAGCTCTTTAATGGTAGCCATAGAATCTGAGAGATCTTTCGATTGTTTCGTCAGTTCAATTTCCAGGCTCTCAATATGGATTCTGGTCTTTTGTAAAGCTTCCTCTGCTTGGAAGGCTCTCTGCTCCTGCTCAACTTTGTCCTGTGCTGCAGCCCTTAGATCAGCTCCAGATGATTGTGCTTGTTTCTTCAATTCTTCCTCCAATCTTCTGATATGGGATTCAAGTTCTTTAATGGTAGCCATAGAATCTGAGAGATCTTTTGATTGTTTCTTCAGTTCAATTTCCAGACCTTCAATATGAATTCTGGTCTTTTGCAAGGCTTCCTCTGCTTGGATGGCTCTTTGTTCCTGCTCAGCTTTTTCATACATCACAGATTTTAGATCAGCTTCAAAAGATTGAGCCTGTTTGTCCAATTCTTCCTCCAATCTACTGATATGAGATTCAAGTTCCCCAATGGTTACCAGGGAACCAGAGAAATCCTCGGACTTCTTCTGATGCTTAATTTGCAGACTCTCAATATGGGTTTCAATATCATTTGCTGCTGCTGCAGCAGGAGGAGGAGATGTGCATTCATACTGAAATTTTAACTGATCTTGCAGTTGGCTCTGCTCCAGCTTATACGCAATGTCATGGTTTTCCTGTTTCAGTATCTCATAGTCAAGTGCAAGCTGCTCCATCTGGATCTCTAATTCATCTTTTTCTCTCCTGTAGATCTCTACTTCACCGAAGAGATCTACAATCTTTTGCTCAAGTAAATGTGTCTCCTTAATGTTTCTGTGCTCATTAACAATTTCTTCCAGAACTTTCTGTTCTTTGTCATCATCTGTTTCATATTTCAAGAGATTTCTCCTTAATTCTTGGGAATTTTGACTCAGTCTGTAATTATTGGAAATATTACATACTTCTCTATTTTTCTTCTCCAACATTCCATCTAAGTCCTGTACAACAAGAACAAGTTCAGCATTTGATTCCTGCGTCTTCTTCAGTTGTAGCTGAAGATTGGCATTCAAAGCCTTCTCATAATTCAATTCTTGTCTAGTTTCCTCAATAAGAGTGCACAGATCACCAGTTTCCAATTGTGCACTGCTTTTAAGTTTGGCCTCATCCATACGTTTGTAAAAAGACCTAAGATTCTCACATTGTGTCTGGTGTGCATCTCTTTCCTCTTTCAACCTAATAACTTCCTTCGAGAGCTCCTGCCCTCTTTTGCTTTCTTTCACAATTTGTTTCCGAAGAGTCTGTACTTCCAATTCTGTCACATCCACTTGTCTAGTCAAAGCAGAAAGCTCAGCCTTAAGTCTTTCAATCTCCCTATCTGATGCCTCTTGAGACCTTTCCCTTGGAAGAGCATCATGGGAACCATTTGTCAAATCACTTGTACTCAACCCACGTTCCGAGTCAGCTGACCAGTCAAAGCTTAATCTTGGGCGTTCCTCATGCTCTGACGTTGTGGTATTTTGACAAGGCTTTTGAGGCTCTGAAATGTTGTTAGTACATGAAACCAAACCACGTGGCTTCTGATGGATGTTGGCATTTCCTAGTCCAAGATCTTTGGGAGTATCGAGTCCAGAGCTGCTGCCAGAACTGGACAATGTAAGGTCAGATCCACTGGATGTCCTACAATCAGCACTAAATTCAGCTCTAAGGGTAATTGCTTTGGCAGAGACATCCTGGAGAACAGAGAAAAAGTAATTTTGATTATTTGCAAACATTCTGTAGCAACACTAGAAAAGGAAAATAAAATTGACCAATATATTATGACATTTAGAGAATTTAAATTATGAGAACATGACAGAAACAACTCTTCACAAAGTTTTGTTGAAGTGCAGGCCTAACTTCCTGAGAATGACCAAGTTCTTGGGATTCAAAATGGCTCTATTATGACATTAGAAAATATCAATTATGAAATTAAAGGTTACCCCCCGGGGTGCCCGGGAAACAAACTTACTTCAGCAGAATTACTTGTATGGCTTTCATCTATATCTCCATCAATTAAATAGGTTCTTAAGCTTCTATCTTGGGATTTTGTTTTGACTTCTTCACATTCGTCCTCTTCTCTGCATGTGTTATCCAGCAAGAAAAAGCCCATCACCTAAACGTGCTGAGTTTAAGGAAACTCTTCAAACTAAAAAGCAAACATAACCTACCTTCTATTGTCATTTTCCTGTAGCCTCTGTACTGATACCTGCTCATTAATCAACAAATCAAATTTACCGAAATTTATATTATAATCAGTTAAGTATGGTTTTTTCCAAGTTAGTCCGACTATTTATCATAAGGTTTCCTGAAATTTCAAAGCAAAGAGATAAGAGCAAGCACTGACATGCAAAACAGCATCACAGTGAGAATTCTTGATTGAACAAGAGATAGTTGAAGGCTTTGTGGCCTCAGCATAATCGGCGAAATTAATCAAAACTTCCCCAATGGAATTAGCTTTCGTTAGTCCCTACATAGTGATAGAACCCAATTATATCTCATTCTGACACAAGCAAACACTTGAGATAAACTTGCTGCTTAAATGAGTGAGACAAATGTCATACCGTTGATATGACAAAATAATATATTCTGTCATGGATCTTCCCAGTCTTGGGATCCCGTGTGAATTTGACTGTTTCGTAAACCGGATTTTCCCATCTACAGACTCCATCTCGAACCGTGGTTTTCCCTAATCTCGTAGTTGGCTTTCCAACGTCGTCCGGAATTATAAACAACATCAAGGCATTTACTCCAGATTGCAGCACCTGACATCGCAAAGTAAGATGTCTGAACAGTCAATATAAATTCTAAAGTCTCAACCCTACCACTTTGTGCAAAGCCACGGGAATTCAGGCATTCAGCTGTTACTGCAGCGCTTGACTATAATTTACAGAAATTTATAGGAAGCGGTACAAGATTTCCCCACTTTTTAATTATATTTCATAAGCGTAAGAGAAGAGGAATTGGCTTTCCAAGCAAAGCATGAGTCATAGAAAGCTCGTCAACTCTAAACTGATCAAAATTATGAACAATTTCAAACTCGAAGAAAAAAATTAAAATGAAATTTTATCGGCAGCCAACAGAAGCCAGTGGGTTATCACCACTAGACTGCGTTTAACAATAGAGGGAGTTCAGAGTGAGTCAATCACACTATCGAAAACACAAAAGCACAAAGATATGAAACCAAAGCGATAGCAAACTAGCAATGCCTCCCAAGCTACCTGACTAGCACGGAATTGCAGCTTGAAAACAGCTTTGATCCTGTGCTTCTCGCTCCTCCATCTCGTCGACCTGAACATTCTTGATCACTCCACCGCCGACTAGGTTTCACATGTCACGCTGACCCCGAAAACCTGGCTTAGTCACATCAAACCACTGAATCTGGGCAGATAAACACCCTCATTGTCCGGGAATCCGACAAAAAAGCCGGCGAGGACAATTCCGGCCATGGCGCTGCGATATTTCAACACATCATGAAGCTGGGTGATATGATATACACAACTCAAAAGCGTAAGGCAAAGAGAAGATGGAAGAAGTGAGATATCACAATGGATTGAAGGTAATAAAACTCAATGCCCGAGCTCGAGAATTGGAAGCTTGCAGAATCAGTAGATCTGAATTCTTGAAATGAATGTTTCTTTTTTTTTTTTTCCTCTCTCTCTTAACTCTATCTCCTCCGTTTGCAAGGGTCTTTAAGAAAGAGATGTTGACACATCGTTTGAAAAACAAATTTAAAATAGGTATTTGCATGCGTCATATATTTTTTTATTTTAAAAAATAAGTGAAAAGGAAAGAATCTTCTGTTCTGTGTACTAATTAAAAATTAACTCATTGGGTGAAAATTTACACCATTATTTATATCATTATTTTATACATCAGTCTTTAAATTTGGTGAAGGGTTACAAGCGTGTGATGAAAAATCAATAATAATTAATTAATACTTTCTCTGATCAAAAATATAAATTATTTTTTAATTAAATTTTATCATTAATAAAATAATTACTTATTTTAAAATTAATTATATCTTTTTTATATTTATCCTTATTTAATAGGGTGTTTCACTCTAAAATAAATATAAAATAATTTATTTAATATGATATCTTTTAAAAAAATATACATTTTAAAAAAAAAATACATTATATTTTGTAATCAAGAGAGTATTGATATTGATTTAAAATATAAAATATATATTTATGTGTTTAATAACTATAATTCAATTAAAATTCATTGGCTAAGGTATATATTAATATTTATTATATATTTAAATTTCATCTTTTTAATTTTATAAAATATTTTTTTATTTTTTAACATTGACACTAATAATTTTAAATGATTATTTTTTATATCAATCATTATTATTTTAAAAATTAAATTTAATATGTAAATATTTAAGAATATTTTATTAATATTTAAAATTTTAATATTAAAATTTTTTTAATAAAACTATTAAAATTGAGGTTAAAATATTAAGAAAATATTTTATAAAATTAAGATAGCAAAATAAAACTTCATGCAAAGTTATTGAATAAAAAATGCATTTTAGCCAAATTCATTTATAAAGTTATTCAAATTCAGTTTTGTTGGATTAAATTTGAGTATTGTCAAATGTAATTAGAAGTAACTCTTATAACATGATTTTTTAAATTATATGTTTAAGAGAATTAAGCCTTTTTTATTGGACTAATCATAGCTAGTAATAAATATTTTGTTAACAACACAAAAGATGTACACTTGCGCATAGAAAGCTTTCCTTTTTATTGAAAGAAATTAAAGAAAATCTGAAGAGGATTTAAGGAATGTCAAATGCATTCCAGCATCATCATGGGAAAATCTGAAGGGGATTTAAGGAATGTCAAATGTATTCCAGCACCATCATGACTTGCAAATAAAAGTGCAAATATAAAATTAAAAGCATATTATGTACCTAAAAATGAAAAGCATATTTTGACTTGGTGTATCATTGGATTCTCTTAGAGTCATAATCATTATATTTGATTTTGAGCACTTTTATATTCCATTGCATTAACTTTTGCGAAATTACGGGTAGGATTAACAATAAAGCTAGTCATCACTCACAAACGTACCAATATAAATTTATTTTATAGTAAAAATTAATCTAATTTTCCTCAATTTTTCATAAGGTTCTTATAATTTATTTGTTTCAATCAAACCCATATAATTTGATTGATTAAATATATTAATTCCTAAAGGGTGAATTATTAATGAATGATTAACTTTTTTGCAAAAAAATAAATTTTATTTAATTCAATGTTTATATTTTTATTATTTTTTATAAAAATTATATATGTATAAAAAAGTTTAACCTTTAAGGATTAACACATATTTGATTAGTTACTATGAGGGCTTAATTAAAATAAAATAAATTATATGGATCTAATTTAAAATTAAATAAATTATAATGATCTTCATATTAATATTTTTCTTGTTAATATTTTATCACAAATTCTAATTCAATTTATTTATTATTATTAAATTTATAAATTATATACAATAATCTAGAGAAGAGTATTTGAGGCGTTAGCTTTGTCCGTAATATTAGGCATTACTTGCCGACGAAACGCTACGGACCTATTGGTCGGACCATTATTGGGCTAACGTTAAAGACTTAAAAGTAGAGAGAAGAATTTGGTGTTAGTTTTAAAAAAAAAAAAACAAAATGGAATGAGGGGGAGACAAAAATTTTGTGGAAATTTTTTTTTTAAAAAAAAAAAAAGGGCCAACGGTCGGCTTCGCTTTCTTCTATATTACCTTCCGCCTCTCTTTCCGGAATTTAGACGAATATAATTTCTGCCTTATCCCTTAATATCAAGATTAATATGACGAAAGTGACATTTTAACCTTCACAAAATCTCTCTCCCACGCACACATATAATAGGAAGAATACATTTTACAAGGCATGGTCTACAAGCCATATTAGCTTACTTATTTATATATTTATTATTATGTAATATATTACATATATATAATATATATATAAGGCATAGAATACTCAATATATAAGGTTAATAAATAAATAGGATCCTGAGTTCTTGTTCAAAAATCATTCTGGACCATAAACTTTAAAATATACAAAATAAATCCTACAATTTTAATTCATAATAAAATAAACCCTATCCATTAAGTTTTTAACATAATTATTGTTCATGCAATACTGTTTAGGATTTATTTTTTTTACAAATTTACCCTGACTGTTTACAGTCTCCTGCTAGGCAGAAACGGTGTTAAAAAAGTAACGGTCAAGTTTTTTTTGCTATAAATTTAAACGTTGGGTTTATTTTATATTTTTAAAAGTTTAGAAGCTAGGATAATTTTTGAGTTATAGTTCAAGATTCTATTTGCTCATTAACTCCACTCTATATATATATTATATCTATATAATACTAATTTAGAAAGCAAAAAATAATCAACTCCTCCCTTTTTTTCATCTTCTTACTTGAAAGCACTAGAGAAGTTCTTCCTTTGTTGTGTGTCTATTTTATTAGAGTTTGTATAATAAATTGACAATATACTAGTTTTACCATTTAATTTTTAACTGACCTGTTCTTTTTTTATTTTTCGTTTCTTTGTTATATTGTCAATTGTATCATAAATTATAGTATCATAAATTAGAGAATGTTCTTATATTGTATTTCTAAGATATCATATTAATATATGTTTTCATTTTAAAAATTTTCAAATTACTTTTTAATATTTTTCCTAGATAATAAATTCAAAAATAAAATAAATTATTTATACTTTTAATATGCACAAAAGTACTACATTGTAAAAAATATAAGGTTGTTATTAAAATAACTGTCATACATTTACTGCATGGATAAAAATGATAAATATTTGGTTTGAAATGAGATCTATTTTTTCTTGTAATATTTTTTTGTTCATAAGCCATAGAATCCATTGAAAGTAAGAATTTGTCCATTTTTTTAACTCTATCATCTAGAAAGTTTTACACTAGGAAAACTGTGTTATATATTTTTCGATAAAATTCAACAGATTATAAACTTTTCAAATAAGTAAAATCTAGATTTACGTTTACTTGTCTCAAACCTACTTGTATAAAAATACATAGACACACAAAATGAGTATTTTAATCTCATTTCCAACTTTATTTTTGAGTTTTACTCGTTTATTTCAAATTAGTTTCATATAAATAATTGAATTTTATGAAATTATTAATTGTGCATTAGTATGATTTCAATATTATGACTTATTAGTCAATATATTTAAGTTAGATTTCAATTTTCTCTTATTTGATTTTTATTTAAGAAAATTTATATATAAAAATATTTTTTATCATATGAAAACATTTGAATTATAAGATAGATAATATTAAATGATATAGAAAAATATTTATTTTCATAAAATATATAACTAATATTACATTATATATTTATTAACGAACAGTATATATTGATTTGTATATTTATGTGTTTTAATGTGTGTGTATATAGGATAATATATATTATCAACATATTTAAATAATAATAATAATAATAATAATAATAATAATAATAGTATCCACCAAATATGTGAGTTAAATAACATGTTTAAATTAAAATAATATATTAAATTCTGTATCTTATTGAAAAGTTATTAACTGACAAAGGATGCCTAAGGAAGGATTGAGGTCTTGAGTTAGAGATGATCAAGGCAATGTCACATTAAGAGAATTAAAATGAATTGTTGACATGATGGTGATATATCATAAAAGTCTAAGCGGCAATGATGTGATGGGTGGTGGGGGTAATGTATATATGTCTGTTTGGTTCAAGAGAAGAAAGGGTAGAGGAGGGACTCCCTCCCTTCCCCTCCCCCACAACCAAACACACCCTAAGAGGTGGTATGATAATGCTTGTTACTTGCAAAATTTTTAATTATAAATAAATTAATAGATAAAATTTATTAATTAGTGATAGATATTTTCTATTATTAATTACTAACGGATTCTTGTCTTGTCACTAAATTAATAA